ACATCATATCTTGACTATCTCCCATGGTTCACACATAGTTGGCCATCATCTAAGCATCTCTTACATAATTCACATATAATCTCTTGACTATACCCCATGGTTCACATATAGTTGACCATCATTTATGTACCTCATACATAGTTCACACATCATCTCTTGAATATCTTTCATGGTTCACACATTGTTGACCATTATACATGCATTTGTGATATAGTTCACACATGATCTCTTGACTGTCTTCCATGGTTCATGCATAGTTTACCATCATCTTTGCATCTCTGAGATAGTTCACCATTATCTCTTAATAATCTTTCATGGTTCACACATATTTGACCATCATCTATGCATCTCAGGCATAGTTCACACAAAGTTCACAAGTATCTCTTGACTATCTTCCATGGTTCACACATAGTTGACCATCACCTATGCATATCTAACATAGTTCACACATAATCTCTTGACTATCTTCCATGGTTCGCACATAGTTGACCATCATCTATGCATTTCTGACATAGTTCACCATCATCTGTTAACTATTTTCTATGGTTGACACATAGTTGACAATCATCTATACATCTCTGACATAGTTCACCATCATTTGTTGATTATCTTTCATGGTTTACACATAGTTGACCATCATCTATGCATCTCTGACACAGTTCACCATCATTCGTTCACTATTTTCTATGATTCACACAAAGTTGACCATCATCTATGCATCTCTAACATAGTTCACCATCATCTCTTAACAATCTTCCACGCTTCGCACATAATTGACCATCAACCATGCATCTTAGACATAGTTCACCATCATCTCTTGACTATCTGTCATAGTTCACACATAGTTGACCATCATCTATGCATGTCTGACATAGTTCACCTTCATCTCTTGACTATCTTCCATGGTTCACACATATTTGACTAGTATCTAAGCATCTCACTTATAATTCACCATCACCTGTTGACTATCTTCTATGGTTCACACATATTTGACCATCATTTACGCATCTCTAACGTAGTTCACACATCATCTCTTGACTATCTTTCGTAGTTCATACATTATTGACCATCATCTATGCATCTCTGACATAGTTCACCATCATCTGTTGACTACCTTCCATGGTTCACATATAGTTGATCATCACCTATGTATCTCTAACCTAGTTCAACATCATCTGTTGACTATATTCCATAGTTCACACATAGTTGACCATCATCTATCCATCTCTGACACAGTTCACACATCCTCTCTTGACTATCTCCCATGTTTCTCACATAGTTGATCATCGTTTAAGCATCTCACACATAGTTTCACACATAATCTCTTTACTATATCCCATGGTTCACACATAGTTGACCATCATTTATGCATCTCACACATAGTTCACACATCATCTCTTGACTATCTTTCATGGTTCACACATAGTTGACCATTTCCCATGCATTTGTGATATAGTTCACACATCATCTCTTGACTGTCTTCCATGGTTCACACATAGTTGACCATCATCTATGCATATCTGACATAGTTCACACATCATCTCTTGACTAACTCCCATGGTTCACACATAGTTGACCATCATCTAAGCATCTCACACATAGTTCCCACATCATCTTTTGAATATCTTTCATAGTTCATACATAGTTGACCATCATCTATGCATCTCTGACATAGTTCCCACATGATCTCTTGACTATCTTCCATGGTTCACATATAGTTTACCATTATTTATGCATCTCTGACATAGTTCACTAATCAACTCTTGATTATCTCCCTTGGTTGACTCATAATTGACCATCATATATGCATGTCACACTTAGTTCACACGTCATCTCTTGACTATCTTCCATGGTTCGCACATATTTGACCATCATATATGCATCTCTGACATAGTTCACACATCATCTATTGACTATCTTCCATGGTTCACACATTGTTCCAATTAATGTTAAAATCACATAGTTATTTTTAAAATATATTAAAAAAAATAATTTTATTAAGTTACATTTTAAAAAACGTTATAATAAAAATGTTAAATTAAATTAAATTAAAATATATAATTTAATTTCAAAATATGTTTTAAAAAATAATTCTATTAAGTTGCATTTTAGAAAACGTTATAGTAAAAATATAGAAATTTTAAAACAATATTTAGAAACATTGTTTCATTTAATGTTAAAATCATATAATTATTTTTAAAATATATTAAATTTTTTTTATTAAGTTATATTTAAAAAAATATTATAGTAAAAATATGAAATTAAATTAAATATATAATTTAATGTCAAAATATGTTTTAAAAAATAATTTTATTAAATTAGAATTTAAAAATGTTATACTAAAAATATAATAATTTAAAAATAATATTTAGAAATATTATTTCAATTAATGTTAAAATTAGATAATCATTTTCAAAATATATTTTAAAAAATAATTTTATTAAGTTACATTATAAAAAAGTTATATTAAAATATTAATTGTGAAATATATCCAATTAATGTCACATTAAAAAAATTAATGTCAAATATATCCAATTGATGTCAAATTAAAAAATATTTAATTAATGGTGACATATATTATGTGTGAGAGGCATATTGTATCATAGTGTGTTTGATCATAATCCAATGATTTTTATTGATTTGAAAAAAAAAAAAACCTCTCACATTAGAAACCTATATATGTCTCTCACGATAGCCTAAGCCATGGAACTCACCTATCGACAAATCACAAATCATAACTTTCAATATAATTTTCCTTTTTGAAATATAACTACGAAAAACTCAATTTTTTTAATAACTCAATAATTATAACTACTACATAATATAAAAGTGGGGTAATATTAAATTTAAACAATAAAACAAAAAAGTGGTTCTATCTTTTTTTTGTGTCTACAATATCACTCTTGTTTTTCAATACAAAATAGATTCTTATTCCTCACCACTAGGGCTGGAAATGAGTCGAGTCGAGTCGAACTCACCTCAGCTCGGCTCGACTCGTTAAGAATTGTTCGAATTCGAGTTCGAGTTCGAGTTCGACACGAACTTTTTTTTAAGCTCAAACTCGACTCGTTATAAGTTCACGAACAGTTCGGTTCGACTCGTTAGGTTCATCTCATTAGGTTCAGCTCACATGGTTCACGAACTTAAAAAATATTTTTTTAAATATATATATTTTTTAGTATATTTGACATTTTAAATAAATATATATTTTTAAAATAAAATATTAAAATAAAATAAAAGTTATCATATTGAAATTTAACTTTATCTTCGAAATCTACTAATTCAAAACCTACACAACTTTCAAGAGATACATTTGAGAGTCTAATTCAAAAACTAATAAATTGAAGATTAAATTTGTCTAAGATTTGAAGTAAATATTTAAACCTAATCTTAAAGACAGTATAATTCTTTTCATATGTAATCGAGTTGACTCATGAACCTAACGAGTCGAACTATGTATAGTTCAAGTTCAACTCATATATTTAACGAACTTAATTTTTCGCTCATACTCAACTCATTTGGTTCATGAACCTAGTTCAACGATTTAATTGTCGAGTCGAATTCCGAACTATCTTCGAGTTGGTTTGGTTCATTGCCAGCCCTACTCACCACCGTCTATAGTATTAGTGCCGATTCCACTTCATGCCCACATCCAAATAATTTTATAAATTCAAAAATAAAATAAAAACCAATTAAAAAAAAGAATATTATTAACTTAAAAAAAATAAAAATAAAAATAAAAAATCAACACTCTACTTCATCACCCACCAAAACCAAAGTAAAAGGGAAAGAAAGAGAACAACAACAAACAACAAAATACAGTATCGCTTCAATTTCGCAGTTTCATAGCAATTATCGCCGAAAAATCCAAACTTTCATTCCAAAATATCTATATACCCTTCTCAATTTCACACTTCAGGTTCATCTCTTCAAAATTTCACTTTCTTATATATTTTTTTTAATCAATTTTTATATATTTTTCTCATTATACATACCCACTTCAATTTTCAGCTTCCAATAATCGTTTTGATCCTTTTAATTGCTTATTGGTATGATAATCGGAAATGGGTATATTTGTTTTTCCCAATTTGAGTTTGTTTCTGTAACGATCCTTTATCTTTTGATGCAGAATTTTACTGTTTTTCTATTACTAATTTTTATTTTGTAATTTCTATAATATTTTGAAATTTTGTATAGTGATGATGTTGGTTGATTCAACGACATAGCTTTTATGGAAAGGAAAGAATCAAATTTTCCAAAATTTGGAGTTTGTGATAGACTGAGCACATGAAACTGTCGGTGTTTGTTAAAAAGACTAATAAACTAAACCCTTTGAATAATCAAATCAAAGTTTTTCACATTCTTTTTCTGAATTTTATAATAGTTTTCTTTGTGTTTTATCACACTTATATTATAGTATCATGTGTTTTGTGCTGATCTTGTGTCATAGTTCTGACTGAAATCTGTACATGCTGCTTTGAATAATGAACATTTGTTGCGTCGATTAGATATATGGAAACCAAGTCAATAAACAAGCGATTCATCGTTACATTAAAAAGTATAAAATACTTATGTGGCACCAACATTTATGTTATCATTTTATATCTATGTAGCACTGGTGTTTGAAAGTGATACTGAACTAGTTATCATTTTTTCAAATTATTACTAGTGTTGACTGTAAGTGTCGGTGTCGTGTTTCTGGTGTCTGTGCTTCATAGTTTTATACTCGTACAATGATTGAATATGATTTGATGCATGTGTACTTTTTTCAGTGATGTTGTGTTTTTCTTTGATGCTATTTTGATGTATTTTGCAGGTGAGCAAGATAAACAAACAATGTTTTTATAGATGTTACAAGTGTGTATCTGAACATACGAGGGATGGAAGACATAGTTGGTGTGATGTTGTTGGAGACTATTTTTCTCAAAACATGCATGTAACACCATTTAATTTTCATTGATTGGTTGAAGAGTGGGAAAAATTAGAAGCTAGTTGGAACAATGGGCGCTGTTTGCTGTTGTTTGAGTTGTGATGATGTTGAAGATTATGTAAACCCGAACAATCCCGTGTATAGGAACTGTGTGTGTCTCAGTTGCTTGGTGCAGAATCTTTTGAATGCGGTATGTATCTACATCCTGTTCCATGCTTCTCCCTTGTTTTGTTTCGTCTCCATTTCATGCTTCATGGAAGGGTAGTGCTCTGTCTTATACATAAATTGAAAATACAAAAACATTTTTGTGAGTATTTTTCTTAAGTAATTTAATTGATAAAACTAACTAGCAGAGGAAACTCTCAAAAGACTAAACTAGCTAAAAAAATGCATTCTAGGTCTAAACTTACTAATGAGAGGCATATTTGATTCAAGGATTTCTGTTTGTTTGTAATTTTCGTTTATTCGGTGACTAAAGTGATATTGCGTGCAAGGTTGTCAAGATCGGGATCTTGCATAAGGTCGGGAGGGGATGGTAAGATCGTAAAACATAAGATCGTAACTAAGATCGCAAGATCCTACTTAATTATTTTTGTAAGATCAAGAGGGGTTAGCAATAGCAAGATAGTAAAACATAAGATTGTAACGTAAGTCGTATGATGCTCTACTAAAACGAAAAATAATACTACTATATTTTTGAAGTGTTTTTACCTGATATTTTGATAGGCAAGTGTATCTGTGGGGAAAATGACTGCCACCAAACCATAATTGTTGTGCCTCTTATTGTCATCCTTCTCGGCTTGTAATGGTGGCGGCTGGAAAACGATCGACCGTGGCCGGAACTCGCCAAGATTGCACAAAATCAATGGGATTTTTTTTTTTCACAATATGGCTACAACACACTATTTTACTTAAGATCTAGATCATTGGGGGTGAGTGAGATCGCAAAATCGTAAGATTTCAAGATCTAGATCGAGATCTTGACAATTATGACCGCGTGGCGTATTCAAGAACCAAAATAATTGTTTACTCTAATTTGAATTTGATAACTGATAGCTCCCTCATGTTTCTGAGCTGGAAAACCTGTTGCATTTTCAAGTTCAGTGCCATCTTGAAAAGAAACCCTAATGTTGGCATATAAGAAATTGAAGGAAAGCAATATTTAATAATTAAGTTAATGCACTCTTGTACAAAGGTTATATCGTGTATATATACACACATAGCTCTAATGATAATATAGCGTTAATTAATTGTGTAGCACCGAAACTTCTGATTGAAGGCGTGTCTGTACGACACTGACACGTATGTACGACACTGTCACGTATGATCATAGTTGTCAGGAGAAAACGTTAACTCCTAAGGTCGTACGATCTTGCGCTCCCTTAACCGGCCATCGAGTTGGATCGGTGCAATGCTGGAGAAAGGAGAGCGGCAGGGGCATCGATGAAGATCGTAAACGCGTAAAATCTGCGATCTGTTTCGGGCAAAATCCGACATATTTGAACCTTTGACCCGTTTCAACCCGGATCCACATCACACAAACCAGTCTGTTCTGACTAGAATTTGTCCCGATTCTCTAAAAAAAGGTTTAGCAGCGCCGAAAGTTGTTTTGGGACCTGTTGTTTTTTATTTAGTACTGTATTTGAAATATGGAAAATTCTAGTTATTTACTATTTATTTAATATGAATCAATTCGCGTTCGATGTGAATCAGTTCGCATTTGATATGAATGAATTCCTCCCCTTCTTTTATTCCTTTTATAAATTCAGATTACTTTCTCCAACTATTCTCATCTCTAATATTGCAATTCATATCTTCTCCTGCACTTCAATTTCCGATTCATATTTGCGGATATCGGGAGGGTACTATAGTACCCTGTTCCAGTGCCATCCCACTTCATAGTTTAATAGAGGATAGCTTTGCTTTAGTTGATGTTGATTGATATGGATTGAGGAATCAAGGCTGCTCACTTACTAAGATTTGCTTCCAATAGTTGAACATTTAATGCGCAGATGGCTTCCTTACAAATCTTACATAATTTAGCATTGGACTACACTCTATGAGGCACAGACACCCTATACGACAGAGACAGAGACACGTCGACACTGCTATTGTAAAAAAACATAATACACTGTCCTCATATATCATAGTATTTGACCTTCATTTATCCATTTATTATTGAAAAACTTTATAAATCTTTAACTCTTTTAGATGTGTTTGAAATTTGTCCAAAGAATGTCTAAGTGTGTTGAAGCAAAGAAAAAAATTGGGACACTTGTTTGAATTGTCTGGCATGTCGTATGAGTGTCATACGGTTGTTAGACACTAATTTAAAGAGTGTCAAAGTAAAGAAAAACTATTTTATTGAAAAACTTATCTGAGTTTTTTGACATGTAACGTACGAGTGTCATTCAAGTTTTGGGCACCGACGCATGTCGAATACTGACGCGTATTTCATAGAGCACACTTGCATGTGCAATTGTTGGCATTAGCATGTCTTTAGTGTTCTGGTTTTGTAGTGTATTGTACATACCATTAGTCTTTAAATGTGTCCTAATCCTAAACTTGTTACATGGTGGTGTGTTTTGTGCAAGGTTGTCAAGATCGGGATCTTGCATAAGACCGGGAGGAGATAGCAAGAACGTGAAACATAAGATCGATACTAAGATTGGAATATCCTACCCAATTATTTTTGTAATATCGTGAGGGGGTAGCAAAATCGTAAAACATAAGTTCGTAACAAAAATCGTAAGATATTACTAAAACACAGTAATAATACATTAATACTATATATTTGAAGTTTTTTATATGATATTTTGGTAGGCAAGTGTATTTTAGAGAAAATGACATCCGCCGAACCGTAATTGTTGTGCCTCGGCATTTTGTCATCCTATTGGGCTTGTAATGACGGTGGCCCGGAAAACGGCCGATCGTGGCCGAAACTGGCCAAGATCGCACATAATGGTGTTACGATTTTTTTCCACAATTTGGCTACAACACACGATTCTACTTAAGATTGGGATCGTTTGGGTTGAGTGAGATTGCAAAATCGTAAGATTTTAAGATCTCGATCGAGATCTTGACAAACTTGGTTTCGTGTATGCATAAGTGAAGAACTCTCGAGTGCTATCGATGTTAGAAATGACTCTTAAAATATGAATACCTCTTATTTACTCATGTGGACTTTATCATATGAAGCTTACATAGCACTATAGTATAGAAAAATTTGAATTAATGACTATTGTTCTGCGATATGCTATTTGGTACGAAGTGTTATATCACTGTTGCGAGGCGGAATATGAACGAACTTCTATTAGTATTTTCTGCTATTGACATCACGATTGTACTGATCTATTGTTTGCCATATGAAACATATTCTGTATTTGTGAATTTATGTTTCATGATTATAAATCCGCTTTATTGATAGACATTTATATCGAAATTTGGTGAATATTTTAGACCTAAATCCATATTTCATGATAAGGTAGATTTGATCAGAGCTGTGTTTTTTAATTGAAAAATAACCATTTTACCATCTGCCTCAAATTTCAGTACACATCAATATTCCGAAGAGGTGAAGCACATTCAATTTCTTCATCTCTTCAGGGAACGGCATCCATGACTTCTGCAGCCTCACTTGATAATTCTCTATCTGACATGTACCGTTCTCCTCCAAGGCCCTTACCATATGACGCAGAGCCTCGGTTTTTTCGCTCACAACGTGATGGACTAGTTTCAAGGCGTGAGAAAAGTTCAAGCCATTCAAATGAGGAAACTGAACCTCTAAGAAGCGATGTAGATGTGGATCCAGAGCCTTTAAACTCAGCAGACAAATGGAATGAATGTGCCCGCGAAGATGAGTCGAAGATATACCGTTCTAAGTCCGCATTAAGACTTTCATCAGCAAAATATACACCTGGAGTTGGGCTCGTTTACACCTCATCGGAAGAAGAGGATATCTGTCCAACTTGTCTTGAAGGTAGACATTCTTTAATAATCTCAGTTTTTCAGTAGATGATCGTAAATTGTGGGATCATGTATGTTCCGAATCCGATGATCTAGCCCAATAAGCCCATATTTTAGTATGGATTGAACTATATAAAAATAGCAGGCCAAAAAACAATCTTTTTGGCCCGACTCAAGTAGCCCGACTAAAATAACGGGATCTTGATAAATCTATGTTTTAACAATTGTTTATGGTTGCAGAATACACCAAAGAGAATCCAAAGATAATGACAAAATGCTCTCATCATTTTCACCTTGGTTGCATCTACGAGTGGATGGAGAGAAGTGACAACTGTCCAGTTTGTGGAAAGGTAACTGATGAGTCTGGACAATATATAGACCCGACACACCGGATGTATTTGGATAATATATACATCAGATTAGATACATTAATTATTCAATAAATCTAAAAGAATAAACTATACTTCCTCTGGTTCTATTTATAGAAGTTTTTTTTTTCTTATAGGAAATGGAATTTGATGAGACAACATACTCTTGATGATTTGGGTGGTGGACAAAGGCAGCAACAGAGGAAAGGAGCAAAATATAAAAGTATAGACAATGTGAATACTGAAAGATGAAGTGTTTATATATGCATAGTAAGTATGAAAGGTTTTCTTTTTCATTGTTGTGAGTTTCAAGCTCAATGCATACACTTATGCTTTTTGGATTGAAATGTATCAGTTGTATTTGGGCTTGCACTTCATTGGAAAATACAGTGGTTATAAGGGTTTTATTTTGGTTATCTTGTTTTAGTTTTGATTTTCACTCTTCAAATACTAGCTTTGTACCTAAATATACAAGTCAAGTCGTTGACTAAAAGATAAGATTTAAAAAAGTTTGTGTTATTAGTGAAATTCATTTTCTCCCAATTAGTGAGAAATGATGGGTTTTATTTTCTCCATGCCTAAATTTGATTCTCTAATAAATCTTTTGTTCCTCACCACTATCTTTGACGGGTTGTAAAATTTATCGTGAAATTTATTTGAATGGGTTCGGGTATCTCTGGATCTTATTTTATATTTGTTTTAATTTTTAAAAAATAGATTTTTTCTTTATACTTTTGAAAATAGATTCTACAAAAATGTTTTTTTAAAATATTACAAATTTTCTTAAATTTATTTTTTATAAACTAAAAAAAAATGTTGACATACTAATACTATAACAAAAATGTTTTTTTTTTAAATTTCAGTTTTTTTTAAATGTTTGTATTTCAAAAATGACTTTTATGAAAAAATATTTGTATTAGCTTCAAAATTAAGTGAATTTTTCATTTTAAAAAAGTTTTGATAACATGATGAAATACGTAGTATAATATTTTAATAATAACTATTCAAATCAAATTTTTATTTAAATTTTTTATGATTTTTTTGAAAAATTTTTTATACTAAAATATGTTACACTATAAAAATTATTAAAAAAAAAAAAGCAAAAACAACCATAATCTCTTTTTCATAATCTATAATTTCCCCAAATATAGGTGGTAGCATGTCCGTTCCGTTTTGCCCTATCCCGCAAAAGTCTATAAAAAACGAGGCAAAGTGAAGGCCGACATAATTAAAGATGACAGGTTTAAAACTTTAATCCATTCCACACAAAAGTGCGGACAAATTTAAAAGGGCCCACGAGCACTACATATTTTAAATCTATAGATGCATACAATTAATTTGGAAGGGCCCGCGGGCACTACACATTTTAAACGTATAGATTCATACAATTATGTTCATGTTGATGGCTGCAAAAGTTTGCAAAAAATGTGGCGGAGCGGGGTAGATATATATTAGAGGGCGAGGGCTTAAATGTATGTTTGAAAAAATGGCATGTTAAAAATATCACATCAAAAAACCACGTTAATGTGGAAGCTTTGTTTTGAACCTTTTGTATTTTCACATCGAAATTGTCTTGGAGTGCAAAAAATAGTCTTTCAACACAATTTCAAACACGTACTAAATTCTTAATCTTTCATGCACTAAAATACAAACAAAATAGACCTATTCAATAGGTCGAGCCTGTTTTTACTACTAACTTCAAACTTAGATTCCACCGCTTCAAACATTAAAATTTATTAATAAACATTACAAATAATAAATAAATATTAAAAATTCAAATATACATCTCAAATATTTTCAATAATAAAAATTAATTTAGTTTGTAGCTGCCTAGCTGTGCAGTAAGACAATGAGTTTGAATCCAACATTTAAAAAAAAAGCACATATCAAAATATTAATGCATTAATACAATTAGTTATCAAAACTAAAAAAGGAATTAGATTAATTATGGGTGGGTGTTGGTGCAAAGGTAGAATAAATGATGAATAGAGAAAATATTCTATTAAGAATGACGGCTACACACACTACTAAATTGCAATGATTGTTACCCTATTTATAAGCTAAAACTAGGGTTACTAGAATAAGATAAAAATACTAAAATACCCTCTAACAAACTTAGGGGCTAAGAAAATAGTACAACTAATAAATATGAATTACTTCTAATACCATCCCTTAATTCATATTCCATCAAAACTTGTAACACCAATTCCATCCCTTAGTTTGAGGAATTGATCAGTCTTGATAGCTTTCGTCAGAACATCTGCCAACTGTTTCTGAGTGCTGCAGTGTACAATTTCTAACACTCCACTCTGAACTTGATGTGTCAGAAAATGATACTTGGTCTCAATATGCTTGCTTCTCCCATGCAACACTGGGTTTCTAGCAAGATTGATTGCAGACTTGTTGTCAATCATTAACTTCAGAGGTTTGTTTATTTTAATCTTCAGATCCTACAACAGATTCAGAATTCACACAGCTTGGCATGCAGTAACAACACCTGCAATGTATTCAACTTCACAGGTTGATAACGCCACAACAGGTTGCTTCTTGGAACACCAAGAAATGGGACCTCCCAGAAATTTGAACAAGTACCCAGAAGTACTTCTTCTGTCAACTCTGTCTCCACACCAATCAGAATCTGAATAACTCAGAAGTTCTGACTCATCCTTTCTTCCAGAAGGAAATAACACTCCATACTTCAGAGTTCCCTTGATGTACCTCAGAATCCTGACAGCAGCTTGGTAATGGGACCACTTAGGTTTACTCATGAACCTACTAACCATCCCAATAGAATAGCAAATATCAGGTCTGGTATTGCACAGATACCTCAGAGAACCAACCAACTGTTTGAAGGTTGTAGTGTCCACATCCTTTCCATCAGAATCAGAATCCAGTTTCTGATTTGTATCAGAAGGTGTGACAGCAATCTTACAATTCTTCAGTTCAAATCTCTTCAAAAGTTCTAATTCATACTTGAGCTGATGCAAAATGATACCTTTCTCAGAATATCTGAACTCCATCCCTAGAAAGTATGTCATTTTGCCTAGATCAGTCATTTCAAATTCATTCATCAGAACTTTCTTGAACTTGGCTATCTCCTGTTCAGAACTTCCAGTCAATAGTATATCATCAATATATAAACATACCAGAGTCATATTGCCTTCAGAAGTATGCTGAACATAGACACCGTACTCCATCTCACATTTCTGAAAGCCTTGCTTCTTGAAAAATGAATCAATCTTCTGATTCCAAGCTCTGGGTGCTTGTTTCAGTCCATATAGAGCTTTGTATAATCTGTACACCATCCCTTCCTGATTCTTTGTCACAAATCCAGAAGGTTGTGACATATAAACTTCTTCTTCTAATGGACCGTTCAGAAATGCAGATTTTACATCTAAATGCATCAGAGGCCAATTCCTGTTAGCAGCTATTGCAATCACCATTCTGATTGTTTCATGTCTTGCTACAGGTGCAAACACTTCAGAATAATCCAGCCCAGGTTTCTGTAGGAATCCTCTGGCTACCAACCTTGCTTTATGTTTGCCAATTGAACCATCTGGCTTTAAGTTCTGCTTGAAAACCCATCTGACGCTGATGGCTTTCTTGTCTTTTGGAAGTTCTGTCAGCTTCCAAGTCTTGTTTCTCTCTATAGCATCAAGTTCTTCTTTCATGGCCTTCAGCCAGAGCTTCTGCTTAAGAGCCTATTTTGTACTTATGGGTTCAGAGTCTACTATCATGGCACACTGAATAACTTCTCCTTCAGAGTCTACTTCAGTGTCTTGCAGCATGTCAAATTCTGCATATCTTCAGGGAATGTTTCTGATTCTTTGTGTTCTCTGAACTTGTTCAGAGTCTTGAGCTTCAGAGTTTCTAGCTGCAGATGATTGACTTCCTCCAGAGCTTTGACCATCTTCAGAGTCTAGCATATTTCCAGAGTCTGAATTGCCACCAAAATCTGGATTGTCATCAGAGTCTGGATCATCAGAGTCACCTTCATCTTCTGAGTCTTCTCCAGAGTCTAAATCACTATCAGAGTCAACGTCAGAATTTACTCCAACTTCATAAATTCTTAACTCTGACCTTTCTTCAGAAGTTCTAACATCAGAATCAGATTGAGACTTATCCCAATTCCAAACTTCTGATTCCTTCACAATCACATCTCTGCTGAATTCAATTTTATTGGTTTCTGGACAATAGAGCTTGTATGCACCTGTATTGTGGTACCCTATCAGAATCATCACTTTGCTTCTATCATCCAACTTCTGTCTTCTGGCTTCTGGAACATGTTTATAGCAAACAGAACCAAACACCTTCAGATGAATAACACTTTGCTTATCTCCAGTCCACTTCTGTATTGGAACTATTTCCTTCAACTTCTTCGTAGGACATCTGTTGAGTACATACGTTGCAGTGGAAACAGCTTCTCCCCAGAGCTTCTGAGGAAGCTTCTTCACTTTTAGCATGCTTCTCACCATATCAAGCAAAGTGCGGTTTCTTCTTTCAGCAAGACCATTGTGTTGAGGGGTATAAGGAGCAGTAACCTCATGCTCAATTCCATTCTCCTCACAGAACTTCTGGAACTCTTTGGAGTTATACTCACCTCCACCATCAGTTCTAAGAATCTTCAACTTCTGACCACTTTGATTCTTAGCCTTCATTATGAACTTCTTGAATTCATCAAACACCTCATGTTTAAACTTAATAAGGGATACCCATGTCATTCTTGTGAATTCATCAACAAACAACACAAAGTATTTATTCCCTCCAATTGATGCTACTGGAAATGGACCACACACATCAGAATGTACAACTCCCAAGGCATGTTTTGCTCTTGGAGCAGCTTCTGACGCAAATGGCAATCGTGGTTGTTTTCCTTCCATGCAAAATTTGCATGACTTTTCAGGCTTCTTAATTGCAGGAATTCCATGTACCAACTTCTTTGAATTCAGATGTTTTAAGCTTCTGAAATTCAAATGACCAAATCTTCTGTGCCACAAATCACTCTCCTTTTCAGCACTTGTTGCACTAAGACATTCTGAGTCTGCAGTTATGACATTCACCTTGAATGTTCTATTCCTTCCCTGTTCTGACTCCATAATCAACTTCTGATTGCAGTCATACAGCTTCAGAAGATTGTCCTTCATGGTAATTGAAAATCCTTTCTCAATTA